AATAAACCCAGGTTTTAATTTGTTAAAGGAAATAAACCTGGCTTTTCATTTGTTAAAGGGAATAAACCCAGCCTAGAATTTGTTACAGGAAATAAACCTGGTCTTGAATTTTGGAAAGGAAATAAACCCAGCCTAGGATGTATTACAGGAAATAAACCTGGCTTTTCATTTTTTAAAGGAAATAAACCTGACTTGAGTTGTTAAAACCAAAGAAAGCACCGGGCTGACCAGGGAAGGGCTCTCCCCCTGCACGGCTCTTGCAGGCTCAGGGTGATCCTTGGAGTGCCCCGGGCTGCCTCAGCTGCAATCCCAGAGCTTTGGGGTTTTTGGGGACAAAAATTTGGGATTTTTGGGGCCAAAAATTTGGGATTTTTCAGCCTCGGAGCTCATCGAGTGCCCCAGCACCGCCAAGGCCACCAAAGCACGCCCCAAGTGCCACATCCAAGGGTGTGCCAAACCCCTCCAGGGGCAGGGACACCACCTGTGCCAGTGCCTGCCTGCCCTTTCCACGAAGGAATTTTCCCAAAATCCCAACTAAACCTGCCCTGGCGCAGCCTGAGGCCGTTTCCCCTCGTCCTGTCCCTGTTCCCTGGAGCAGATCCCGATCCCCCGGCTGTCCCCTCCTGGCAGGAGTTGTGCAGAGCCACAGGGTCCCCCCTGAGCCCCCTTTTCTCCAGGCTGAGCCCCCCCAGCTCTTCCAGCCCCTTCCCCACTCTGGACCCTCCCCAGCCCCTCAGTCTCTTTCTGCTCACGAGGGGCCCCAAAACTGCACCCAGGATTTGGGGTGAGGGTCCCACCAACCTCCCGCACGCGGAGGGGCCCAGCCAGGCTGTGCCACAGGGACCCCAGCCCAGAGCCCCCTCCCCAGACCCCTCCCTTGGCATCCTGACAGAAATCCAGCTCCAGGCGTGAGGCTCAGCCCCCCGTGGGCCTCGCTGGGCATCAGGGGGTGCTCCCACCCCTCCAGGAAAAGGTTTGGGGTTGGAAAGGCAGTGCCCGACCTGCAGGGGGGTTGTGAGGGACCCTCAAGGGGGGGTGTCGGGGGGTGCCCACCCCACCCGAGGGGCTGAAACCAGAAACGGCGTGGTGGGAAACCAGAAACCATCTGCACCAGGAGCACCCCCGGGGAGCCAGGAGCATCCCACGAGCATCCCAGGGGAATCAGGAGCACCCCAGGGGAGCCAGGAGCATCCCAGGGGAGTCAGGAGCACCCCAGGGGAGCATCCCAGGGGAGCCAGGAGCACCCCAGGGGAATCAGGAGCATCCCAGGGGAGCCAGGAGCACCCCAGGGGAGCCAGGAGCACCCCAGGGGAGCAGCCCAGGGGAGCCAGGAGCACCCCAGGGGAGTCAGGAGCATCCCAGGGGAGTCAGGGGCACCCCAGGGGAGCAGCCCAGGGGAGTCAGGAGCATCCCAGGGGCATCAAAAGCATCCCAGGGGAGCCAGGAGCATCCATGGGGAGTCAGGAGCATCCCAGGGCATGAAAAAGCATCCCACGGGAGCCGGGAGCATCACGAGGGCATCAAAGAGCATCCCAGGACATCCAGGAGCATCCCAGGGGAGCCAGGAGCGTCCCAAGGGAATCAGGAGCATCCCAGGAGCATCCCAGGACATTTAAGAATATTCCAGAGTAGCCAGGAGCATCCCAGGGGAGTCAGGAGAATCCTGGGGGAGCCAAGAGCTTCCCAGAGGGACCAAGATCTTCCCAAGACATCTAAGAGCATCCCAGGGGAGCCAGGAGCAGTCCAGGACATCCAAGAACATCCCAGGACATCCAGGAGCATCCCCGGGGACTCAGGAGCAGCCCAGGGGCATCACAGAGCATCCCAGGGGTGCCGAGAACATCCCAGAAGGGCCAAGATCTTCCCAGGACATCTAAGAGTATCCCAGAGGAGCCAGGAGCATCCCAGGGGCATCAAAAGCATCGCAGGGAAGTCAGGAGCATCCCAGGACATCCAAGAACACCCCAGGGTATCCAGGAGCATCCCAGAACATCCAGGAGCATCCCAGGGTATCCAGGAGCACCCTAGGACATCCAGGAGGACCCCAGAGCATCCAAGAACATCCCAGGGCATCCAGGAGCAGCCCAGGGCATCCAGGAGCACCCCAGGACATCCAAGAACATCCCAGGGCATCCAGGAGCAGCCCAGGGCATCCAGGAGCACCCCAGAGCATCCAGGAGCATCCCAGGGCATCCAGGAGCAGCCCAGGGCATCCAGGAGCATCCCAGAGCATCCAGGAGCATCCCAGGGCATCCAGGAGCAGCCCAGGACATCCAGGAGCAGCCCAGCACTGCCACCCTGCCCTGGGGCAGCCTCTCCACCCAGCCAGGGGTGCCCTGGCCCTCGGCCTGGCTGCCCCTGCCCAGCCAGGGGACAGGGACAGGATCTGGGGACCCCTGGGCAGCACAGCGGGGTCACCCCTGCTCCTGCATCCCTGCAGCTGCTCCAGCTGGGTCCCCGTGTCGCCCTGAGTTTTTGAAGATTTTCTAAACGTTCTAATGTTTACATTTTTATAACACGCTTTCTGTAAATAACTTATTGTTTTGAATTATTTTATACAAAAAAAAAAAAAAAAGAAAATTTAATCAACTGTTGGTTTGTCCAGTGTCATTGGAGTCCAGTGTCATTCACCCTCCCATCCACTGTCACTTTTAAAAATCTATAAATGTTAAAATAAAAAATAAAAATGTTAAAATAAAAAATGTTTTGAGGTTTTGTTTACCCTCAAAACAACAGCGTGTTCACATCATGGTTTTTTTTTCATGTCTTACAGCAACATCCACGGCTGTGAGCTCCTGCCCACAGCAGTGGGGACAGCAGTGTCACCTGAAGGCACCGAGAGCAGGTGACATCCCCACACCCAGCCCTCCCTGCTGCAGCAGGGAGCAGGAAAGAAACAGCCAGAGGCGTGGAAAATTATCAGAAACGTGTATTTTTTTTTCTTTTTAATAGTAAACCTCTTTACAACAAATATAGTGAAAGAGTTTCCAAACAAAACTCATAAGAATTTCTCATGGTAATTATTATTATTATCATCATCATTTTTTTTTTAATATATTTTTTTTCCCTTATTGTGGAATATACAATAACGCATCACCATACAGCACAAAAAAAGGAATATTGAAAAAACGAAACAGACGTCTCAACCACGTGCTGCAGTCCCTGGGAAGGAGCCACTGATTGTCAAGGGAGCGAGGGAGGGAATGGGGACAGGGAGCGGGGGAGGTTCTCAGCCAGGCCAGACCCCGAGGCTGCAAACCCTTCAGAGGTGGAACCAGATCCCGGTTAAAGAATCAGATCCCGGTTAAAACATCACAAACTGTCGGTACCAAGCCTCCCTCTGCCGCTGCCGGGCTCCGGGAGGGGATGCCCCGCTCCCGGTGCTGCCCCGAGCTGCCCAACCCCTTGACTCGCACACACACACACACCCACACACACGGCTGGAGGAGCATCAGGAAAAAAAAAAAAAAAAAAAGAGGTTAAAAAAATAAAAATATAT